GTACCTCAAAAACCGATCCGGATCGGTGAATCGGCGATCGGGAAACGGCTGAATCGGTTAGATTAAAGCTTCAAAAAAATCCGAAAAAATTATTAAAATTCATTATAAATATTGTTTTTTAGGAATTTAATAAGAAATGAGGGTACTCCATTAAGAATTTTCATTTCTTTGTTTGAATATGCGAATATTGATATGTTCTTTCCCTGCATGAACTACTATTTACCATTTAATTTACATCACACAAAATGATAAACATAGAATTATCATGGAATAAGTATATCAACATACATGGAATATAATAAATCATACAATTAGTAACATACGATCTAAAAATAAAATGACAGACGACGTCGTTCTTCTTCTTGGTCACGCTGGTGCCATTGATAGAATTCGTTTGACAATTCAATGATTCGATCTAAAAATGAATCATCGATATTAGCAGGTGTCTGACTATACCCAAATCCCTGAGTGTTAGTATTCTGTTGTGTTCCCAATCCAAAATCCCCGAAGCTTGTCCATCCTTCATGCTCATCTACACTGTCATGCTCATCCCTACCCTGTTGTTGTTAGGACTTGATATGTGAATAATATGGCTGGGATAAGGTGGCCTCAAAATCATCATCTCTCTTATTTTCCCTTAGACCCCCTTCCCACTCTCCCTCATTAGGTGCAATATGACCGACATCTCTGATGAATTGTGGATACGTTGGCTGACTGCTTCCTCTTTCATGCTGTTCATCACATTCTTCAAGATCTTCCTCACCGATAGCCGCAAGGAACGCTCTCTTGTGCAACATTGGCTCCTCGTCTTCTACTACTCATTGGTTTGCTGTGTCTGTGACAAATATTGTGTCTAAGTCTATTGGCCCATAGTCTTCAAGCTTCCTTCTTATTTGTCGCTCTCGGAGGTTTAAGTTGTAATGAACGTAGACTAGTTTATGAAGCTTCTCTGAAACGAGTGGATTCCTCCTAATAGTGTGTAATCATTAGAACGTACTCCAGCTGCGCTCACAGCCAGTAGTAGAACATGTTTGGGAGAGCACCTTGTTATCCTCTTTAGGTGAGGTGCATCAGTACCATATATCTCCTACCATTTAGCTGGATTAAAATGCAAAAAACATTGTAAAGGCAAGAATAATTCATAAGATTAAATATATGAATGAACAAAATATTAGCTTGGGGATAACCCTGATCCGTCTTAGTTCGAGAATTCCTCGCAAGTCTAGTTCCGAAGGATCCTATAGCATCCCTATACATAACAAGCTAAAACAAATATATTTCGCTTTAGTGCATTATTCCTCATAAATTTAACAACTCAATGAAGTTATTATCCAAATATTAAATAATACCTCTTGTATTACTGCTACTTGGTTTCAATGGCTTCTCTCCAACCTTTCCCTTCCATAATCTTGTAGGGATGTTCAGGTGTCAAATAGAAAATTTTTGGGTTGAAGTAGTAACCTAGAAAATATATAGATAGAAAAATGTCATTTACAATTTCATAAAAAAATGATTTAAAATGAAACATTCTAATGATATAAATATATATTTACCAGCATAATGAATTGGACGTCCAAATTTGGTATTCCACCTCCTTTCTATAATTTCGATCACTTTGCTAGCAAAACTACACTTCTCCCCAATAGCTGATTTCGTCCTTTCGATATCTTCATAACGGATGCCCATGGTAGCTTTCTTGTCATCATCCACTATTCTTAACACCGTAACCAATGGGGCAATGTCCTCTACGATACTGGAACATCGAGACTATAACCTCCTATTTGAGATTATGCCGTCCACTTTTATACCGGTACTGGACTTCGAGAGGCAGTCATTGAACCACTCTTCACAGGTAAACAATCTCTTTAGTGCACCTTCAGATTCTCGAATGGAGTCCACAGCTAAGTAATCGGTCGCAAAGCGGGTTATGACAGGCTTGATTATCGATTTTTTCTTAGAGTGTTCTCCAAACATAAATAAAATTTTAGAGTGGTTGTATATAAATCTCAACACCAACCTTGCTTCCTCTAGAGTCTCCTTTACAATTTTGATCTCACCGATCTCCTCTAATATAAGATCAATGTTGTGTGCAGCACACGAGGTCTATACTAGACGCTTCCTCTTATCCATCAACTTGTTGCCCACAGAAACACATGCACACGCATTGTCCGTAATAAACTGGACTACATGCTTATCTCCTACCTCCTCCACTATCTGATCATATAGTTGTACGTAGAAGTTTGCATCCTTCTTCATCCATGATATGTCTTTACTAGACAAAAAAGCTGTACCTTTTGGAGAATAGGCCAAGAAGTTTACAAACTCCTTTTTGCTAACTTTGTTCAACCAACCATCACTCATGAGAGTAATGTCTGTCCATGGCCAACTCTGTTTATATTCTTCAATCCACTTTCTAACTTCCTCCACCTCTTCATCTAATATTGGCCCACTGAACTCATATGCCATCGGGGGTTTTACCTCAAGCCTGGCTTTCTGAATTGCACTGACTACAGGTGAAAAATATGAGCTATTGGTTGCATCAAAGGGAATCCCTTTATCGTAGAACCATTTACCAACATATCTCCCCAACATGTTTCTTGTACCTTTAACTATGCCTTTTCGGGTCATCTGTTGTGACTTAGGCTTTGAGAGAAATGAGTTTATACGATCATGACCTACAATATTGGCACTCTTAGATAAGCTACTTCAACGTTTGATTCTTGTTAACACATACTGCCACCAACCCCTCCATACATATTTGAGTTGGGCCCGCCATACATGCTCGACCTGGCCCTGCCATGTATGTCTAAGCTGGGCCTGCCATACATGTCTGAGCTAGACCCACCATGCATGTATGAGCTAGACCCACCATGCATGCCTATGTCATAAACACCGGGCATTCTAAACCCACGTTCCCTCTGATATTACTCATGTAAACTCATTCTTGTGGCCATCTCCATGTCATTATTATATTGCTCTTCTAGGTCATTATTATATTGCTCTTCTGGATCATTCATGCTTGATGGCGTATATAAACTAGCTATCTCCTCATTCATCCTATATTTGACAATTTTTTTTACCTTTGTCAGCCTTAAGAATTGCCGCCATCTGTTTTTTTATATTACTATGTCAAGTGTTGCTTGAACCTATGTACCCCACAACTTTTTACTCTTTGGCAGTAATTACAAATAATTTTGAATTTTTTGTTGGGATCAAGTCTGACCCCATATTGGAGGGTCTTTTGCAGATCTTGACATGATTCAACTGTTTTAATATGTAAAAAGTTAAAAATTAACTTGACAGTTCAACAAAAAAATAATCACCATGTGTAGTGATAATATGTTGGGGTAGTTCATATAGTTATATTTGTTGTTATTTGTTATTGCAAAATACTTCTATGGACAATAATATTTTCGTATATATCAATTACAAACATACATGATAATAAAATACAAAATGCAAGCTCCAAACATGGCTACAACTCAATTATCAAGAACATACATTTTTTTAATCTAAAAAATGAAGCTCAAATTGAATAAATCAGATCAAATTGAATACATCTGATTATAAACAAGACTATAACAATTCAAAACCCTTGAAATCTAACACATTATTTGTAATATATCGTGAACAATAGATCGAAAGGCGGAAAAAAAAAAAAAAAACAGTAGAATTTTTTTTTCACAGACATCACTGTATTCTTCTAAAAACTCAAGCTGTAATTAAGTAAATTAAATAAAATTGAATATGGTAAATGATAAAAGACACGATAAAGATTTAAAACCCTACAAATTTAACTGATTATTTTCAAAATATGGACTGAAATTGATCAAATGGCGGAAAAAAAAAGAAAAGCAGAGTTATTACTTGGTTTCGTGAACCTGTGGCTTCAATCTCCAAATTAATATGTTTTTCTCAAAGATAATCACAAATTCGTAACATAAATTTTTAATGAACACATTTACGATCAATATGCCTCAAACTTTTCACAGATTCATGTCCTATTTGGTATGAAACAAAACGAAAAGCGGAAACCCTAAAACCCGCAACTTTTATGATCCAAAAAATTGAAATTTTTCCACCATTTAATGTATGAAAAGGCTGAAAAAAGCTGCATAAAGCCTGAATATTCGATCACATGGCAAAAAAAAGAAGAAAAATAATAAAAAAAAGACAAAATTTGAAGAAACCCGTGAAAAATATTGTGCAGCCTGTGTTCTTCACGGGACTCGCCAATTCGGTACAGTGAATCGCCGATTCACTGTACTGAATCGCCCCGTTCTCTATGAAATCGGGTGATTTTGTATAAAATACCGAAACCGACACGGACTGTACCGATTCTCGAGTCGAACCAGACGAGTCCGATTCAACTCGGCATTTTTTAAAACACTAAAACTATATTTCACAACACTGTTTTTTAACACTAGTAGAGTGCAAACTCATTTTATAGCTAGCTAGCCCTGAACATTAAGACTTCAGAGAGGAGAGAATGAGACATTAGTTAAGGGCATGTGCATTTAATTTCATTTCGAACATACTTTTCGAAATTAATTCCATGTTTGGATATAACGTGGAGAAAATGGATACCTCATCATCCCGTATGACGAGTGACACGCATTTGTTAGTAAGTATCTTAAATGGTTTTGGATTAAATCTATTTTCCACAAATTTCGGGAAACCATCTTAAATTTAGAAATCATGTTAAATTTGTCCGATTGTAGGTGGGAAAGTTTAGGAATCTAAAACACTCCAAAATTCCAACAAACATTACCCGATTTTTTATCGCAAATTAGGGGGATTTTAAGGAAAGCTTAACCTAATCCGAGAGCAAAGAGAAACCCTAATAACTCATTACCATCTGCGTATAGTTTTGGATGTTTATTAAAATAGTATTTTGGTCATTATTACCGAAAGCAAGGGCATTTCAGTAAGAGTTCGAGCAAACCCTAGCGTCCTTCATGGGGAGGATTTATGCCTGTTTCACCCAATCAATACGCGGATCGATAACTTCTGAGCTACTTATTTCTCTCTCGGACACTCTCTCTCTCTAGAAATAACTCAACGATTCTCTTTCTCTTTCATCGCGTTCCTTACCTCGCATCTCTCAGCCCTCCAAATTCCCGCTTTTCTCTGCAAGCCCAACACCTCTCTCTCTCTCTCTCAAATCGTCGTCTTTCACTGCAAATCTCGCTCATATTATCTCTTCTCTCTCTCACTTTCTCTCTCTAGAGGGGGGCGGCGACATGGGCTGGCTCCTCCTCTCTGTCCTAACTCTTTCTCTCTCCATCGCCATGGCCTCTGACTCCACCGCAATGCTCGACCTCGCGAAAGCCATTAACCCTGTCGCCAACCTCGGCTGGACCGGTTCGGACCCCTGTAACTGGAAGAATGTGGACTGCACGAATGGCCGGGTCACCGCCATTCGCCTCCCGGGACAAAACCTTAAAGGCACCCTCCCTTCCTCCATTAACTCTCTTTCTATGCTCTCAATCCTAACCTTACAGGGCAACTCTCTCTCTGGTCCCTTACCCTCGTTTTCCGGCATGTCTTCTCTCCAGACCCTATATCTTGATGGAAACCAGTTCTCCTCCATTCCTGGTGATTTCTTCCGTGGCCTCACTTCCCTTCAAAATGTTAGTTTAGATGATAACCCCTTCGAGCAATGGTTGTTGCCTTCTGATCTCGCCAGTGCGGACGGTCTAGTGTTGTTTTCAGCTAGCAATGCTAGCATTGGCGGGTCGATTCCTGAGTATTTTGGTGGTCTTCAGAGTCTTGAAAGCATTCGTCTATCCTATAACAACCTCACTGGTGGATTGCCGGCATCTTTCGACAAGTCCTCGCTGAAGAACCTGTGGCTCAACAACCAGAGGGGTCCCATGCTATCGGGCTCAATCATGGTGCTCGGGAACATGACATTCCTCACCCAGGTCTGGCTCCAGACGAACGGCTTCTCAGGCTCCATCCCTGACCTCTCGGGTTGCAAGTCGCTCTTCGATCTGCAGCTTCGTGACAATGCCCTGACTGGTCTTGTGCCCTCGTCTCTGATGGAACTTCAGTCACTGATGAACGTATCCCTGCGAAACAACAAGCTGCAAGGGCCATATCCTCAGTTCAAGGATGGTATCAAGGTTGATAATGGGAAGCTAAACGATTTCTGCCGGTATGACCCCGGGGTGCCTTGCGACGATCGTGTCATGGTGTTGCTTGAGATTGCAGCTGGATTTGGGTATCCAGCGGCGGTGGCTGATGCCTGGAGTGACAATGACCCCTGCTCCAATTGGCTCTACGTGACTTGTGATCCTCAAAAGAAGAACATCACGGTGCTTAACTTTGCAAATGCAAAGCTGTCTGGTACGATCTCACCCTCCATAGGGAAGCTCAGCTCTTTGAGGAGCCTCATCCTCAGCAACAACAACCTCACTGGAAAGATCCCTGATGTCCTCGCATCGATGCCAAACCTCCAGAGTGTTGATGTGGAGAACAACGACCTCTTCGGAGAGGTCCCAAATTTCAGAAAAGAGGTCACCCTGAAGACGGATGGGAACCCCCTTCTTGGGACCACTCCCGCACCGGGCAGAGGTGGCAGCGGCTCTGGGTCATCTGGCGGGTCGAACTCGACCACACCTAGTGGCATGCCGACCACCTCGAGCATCACGGGTTCGGGCTCGCCGACTGGTGTCATTGTGGGCGTAGCTGTGGGCCTGGCTGTTCTTATGTTGATTGGTGTGGGTGTTATTTACTGTGTTCGTAAGAAGCGCCACCAAAAGTTCAGGCGTGTTCAGAACCCACCAAGCCTGCTTAATGGTGGATCAGTGCCATCGGATTTGCAATCGATCAAAGTTGAATTGAGCAGTCTCAATGGGAATGGGAACGCAAGCGAGCAGCACAGCCGTGCTAGCAGCGGGCCTCACATGGGTGAAGCTGCCGGTGGGAGCATGGTGATATCGATTCAGGTGCTCCGATTGGTGACCAATAATTTTAGTGAGGAGAACATTTTGGGGAAGGGTGGATTTGGGGTGGTTTATAAAGGTGAATTACATGATGGTACCAAGATTGCAGTGAAGAGGATGGAAGCAGGTGTTATGGGGAAAGGAATGAATGAGTTTCAGGCTGAGATTGGGGTGCTAACTAAGGTTAGGCATAGGCATCTTGTGGCGTTGTTGGGTTATTGTGTTGAAGGTAATGAGAGACTTCTGGTTTATGAGTACATGCCTCAAGGGACGTTGGGCCAACATCTGTTTGATTATGCACAAAACGGGTATCCACCGCTGAGTTGGAAACAGAGGCTTACGATCGCGCTTGATGTGGCAAGAGGAGTGGAGTATTTGCATAGCTTGGCTCAAAAGAGTTTCATACATAGGGATTTGAAGCCTTCAAATGTGTTGCTTGGTGATGATATGAGGGCCAAGGTTTCAGATTTTGGGCTCGTAAAGCTTGCACCTGATGGGAAGTATTCAGTCGAAACTAGACTCGCGGGAACTTTTGGGTATCTTGCTCCTGAATATGCTGGTAAGTATTCATTTGACAGTAATTGGTTTTTTTTTTTTGTTTTTGTTCGTTGGATCGGTCTGTTCTGTCTTCTTCCTTTAATTTCAATTGGTGGTTGTTTTCTAGATTTAGATACCTACTGTTTGAAAAGAAACCTTGACTAGACTGTAGCTGTTTGAAAGGAAATCATTCTCTTTGTCAGCAGTTTCAATTGCATTTGTTTGTGGTTATTTTGAGTGGGGCATTCTAGAAAAGGACAGTAGAACTGTTTAGAACTGTTTCTGAGTTTGTGGGATTTGTTGGGTTGGTGAAGTCATGTTGGGCCCATGGGATCCACCTTGTTTTTTTCCCTCTCTCTTTCCTGGAATTCTTTTAGCTATTCAATGTGGGTTTCAAGCTAATTGTTCTCCATGTGAATTTCTTTTACATTTGGTCAGTTGGGACATCATTTTTGTTTCTTCCCTTTCTTCTATACTGGAATGTTTTTGGATTTTCTTATTTTGTACGCATACATAATTTGTGAAGCTAATTGAACTCCATGTGAACTTGTTCTTTTTACCTCTGGTGAATCATGTGAGTTTTGTACAAAAGTTCTCATTTAAAGTTTCATTGATTTTGAATGGGCTTCCATATAAATTTTCTCTTACTCGAGGAAACTATTTTACCTATTCACATGATTGCTCTTCTTGTAAAAGGGCTGATAGATCAGTAGTGTGTTGTTTCATTTTAGTTAGAGAAATCCAAGTTTAGTTGTTTGTTTCTATCTGACTACAGATTACCCTAACTCAAATTCAGATGTTGGTTCTCTCTGAATGTATGCAATCATATACATGTCTGCTTCTAAAACCTCTACTCTTCACGCTTGAAACAAAGAAGCCTGTTCTGTTAGTTATTGAACCTATCAACACAATTAATCTTTATGTAAATTTAGGGTACAGATAATTTTCTGTGTTTCACTTGGCTTTCTGAGAAATACAATTAGGCATTTAGTGTTCTAGGAATTCCCATGAATACACTCACTAGGAAAAGAAATCCAAGGTCAGTTGTTTGTTTCTATCTGAATACATGTTACCCTAACTCAATTCAGATGTTGGTTCTCTCTGAATGTATGCAATCATATAAATGTCTGCTTCTAAACTCTCTACTCTTCATTCTTGAAACAAAGGAATCTGTTCTGTTAGTTATTGAACCTATCAACACAATTAATCTTCATGTAAATTTAGGGTACAGATAATTTTCTGTGTTTCACTTGGCTTTCTAAGAAATTCAATTAGGCATTTAGTGTTCTAGAATTCCCATGAATACATTCTCTAGGAAAACTTTTTAATAATAATTTTCATCAAGAGGGGTTCGGCAGATAGGTACTTTACATTTGGCTTTCAATTTTGGACATTAGTTCCATCTGAAATGCTGTTCTCACCCAAACTGTTTTATAAACCTATTGCTCTATACAACTCAAAAAGTTCCCTGATATTAGTTGCATCTTAAATGATGTTCTCCTCCAAAGTGTTTATAAAACTTGAACTCTATCTAACTTTGAAAGTTTCCATCGAAACCTCTTGTGCTGTTAATCCCCCATGTACATTGATTTGCAATGTGTTTCTTATCAATATTGGTCCCTTGTACAAATTCTCAGTCTAGGAAATGCACACTACTCAAATCGTTCTGTATCTCGTGTAAAAATTGCAGGCATATTTTTAGCCATTGTTATCTGAATTGTCATTTTTACCAGATGTTTCATTCATGACTCTTCATTTTTACCAGATGTTTCCATTAAAGACACATAGTTGTTAAGTAGTCCCATCCTCCATGACTGTCCATGTTATTTTTCTGCACACATGATCCTTCTGAAAAAAACGGCAGTGGATTGTTAGCCATGTCTATTTATCATTTCATGTTTCTAGCAAAGACACTAGAGTTGTTAGCAAATCCGGTACGTTCATGATTGGCTCTTTTACCTCTCTACCTGGATGATCCTTGTGTGTGCAAATAGTGGACAGTTTGTTAGTAATTGTTTTTTTCTCTCTTACTAGTAGTTTCCACCAGAGCTTTCGTTTTAAGTTCATGTTTCCATTAATGATACTTTCATTTCTCTCTCCTTCCATGACGGATCCTGTTTTCGCTGTTGTCTGTCCTCTGTCAGTCACAGGAAGGGTTACGACCAAAGTAGATGTCTTTGCTTTTGGGGTCATTTTAATGGAGCTGATAACTGGTCGACGAGCTCTCGATGAGTCTCAACCAGAGGATAGCATGCACTTGGTCACCTGGTTCCGGAGAGTTATAGCCAACAAAGAGAAGATTGGAAAAGTAATTGACCCTGTTATAGACCTCGATGAAGAAACATATAAGAGCATATGCACGGTGGCTGAGCTTGCAGGTCATTGCACTGCCAGAGAGCCACATCAAAGGCCTGACATGGGGCATGCAGTTAATGTTCTCTCTCCTCTGGTTCAACAATGGAAACCCACAAGCACAGAGGATGAGGATTGTTTTGGCATAGACCTGGACATGCCTCTTGCTCAAGTTCTGAAGAGATGGCAAGCCAATGAGGGAACATCAACCATGACTCTCATGGAGGAGACCTCAAATGCCAGCATACCACCCAAGCCGTATGCCGAGAATTTCCTTTCAAAGGATGGTCGATAGAGAGAGAGAGAGAGCATGGTAGAGAGACAGAGCGAAGGAGGTCGATGGAGACAGAGAGAGGAAGAGGTCAGTTCCTCACTCTTGTTTCGGTTTTTGGAGGTCCAAATTGGAAGCAGAGATGGGTTCTGGCCTCTTGTTCAAAGTCTCTGCCTTTGTTTGAATGGTGAGCATTGGCTTTCTGGTTTTACTGTTTATGGCCTTGGATTGTCGGATCTCGGGGCTGGGGTTTTTGCTCTCTGACTGTTGTTTTATTTATTCTTTTTCCTCTTTGCCTTTCTTGTAAAGCTAACATAAGGGTGTTGTTTGGGTTAGGGGAGAAAAGGAGATTGCCACGATTGAGTGAGAGAGAGAGAGACTAAATTGAAGATGAATTGAAGAGTTTGAAGTGTTGTGCCCTTGGAATATTGTGTATACATGTGAGATTCCTGTTAACATATTATATGGGATAATTATTTTCTTAACCCACAAGTAAATGGATTTCTATTTGTTGGTAAATGATTTGCCTAGAAATTTCCTAGTCTCTGTTTGATGAGAGGGTAAGATAGTATTCTGGTTCTTGCTGTTTTGTGCTGTTTTGCCAGCTTGGTGGAGGAGCGTGAGTTGTCCTTTGTGTGTGTGCTATGAGAGAGTTACTGGGGGGTTTCCTTTTAGCTGATTGATGTGTCGTGTCGAGCCCTGCCAGATCAGGGGTGGGGGTGAGAATGGGTCCGGTTGAGCCTGGATCGCGACTCTTGTGTTTGGTGTGAGCTGAGTTGTGGGCTGGGGCTGGAAATGGGCCTCGTCAGGCCCGGGTCGACCTGCAGTGAACTCCACTAGGTCTAAGTTAGACACAGACAGATCCTGTTGGACTTGGACCCTACCCACTGAGTTTGGATCATGTATCGGTCTATAAATGAAAAAATAATTTTTTTTCTGTTAGTACAGTCGAGTTGGTAAGCTTGGCTGGCCTCAACCCAAATAGGACTCAACCCAATAGGGTCCAACCTGGACCTACACCAGAATCCAGACCCACCGAGACCCTGTCAGGTCAAGATCAAGTGGACCAAGATCCCACCATTCTGGTCTATTGAATGGGTTTTAGACCCCAATCGGGTGGAGACGACACCACAATTGGGGTAAGAGGAATGGGGGGTTCTCTTTACCGTGTGATTGATATTGCGCTGCCATTGCCAGCTCTGTATGGGGTGGGTAAGCAAGCTACTGTCGATCACATGGGGTTGGTTCTTGAAAAGTCGCTTTTGGACACCATCAAATGTCTTAAAATGAGAGGATTGAAGAGTGCAGCAGCACATGGGCATCCGCGATCACCTCTTTTTTTTTTTGTCGTGTCCCCCCACACCATATTTATCATACTTTACTCCTAGAACGTGTTTTCTATATGTTTTGTTTTTCTTGGCGCTGTTGAAAAAATTATTGACGTGTCACCTTTATTAATATTAAAACTACACGTAATTTATGGGAAACTTTAGTGAAATAAAATAAGCACAACATTTCATGACAAACTTTTCAGTCTCATGATTTTTTTATTTTTTATTTTTTATTTTTTATTTTTTGCACAAGTTACAAGGATCTCTCAAAGCTTCCGTCTCTCAGTAAATTATTTAACATGATAGATTTATTGTTAAAGTGGGCGTTGTTGTGATGATGATAACCATGCCACTAACCTTCAAGCTCTAAACACCATCTCTCTTCCTCTTTGAAAAAAGAACCGAACAACTTTATTCTAGATGCGAGTTGTTCGAAGGTATCCATCTCAAGGAGTCACGTGTGGAGCATTTCTGGATCGCTCCGTCCGCAATAAACACCGGTTCACCCGTCCTGGGAGACAAAATGTGGCCGGAGAGTCGAGCGGTTAAGGTTGGGCTCAGCATGGTTTTGTCTGGCCTAACATTTTTGGTTATTTTTGTTATAGTTGGCCCCCTCATGGCCTCTTTGCCTTGGTCCAAGCGGGGCGTGGGCTAGGGCTGGCCGCCGCAGGCCTGCCCCATTGTAGTCCCTACTCTGCACATTTTAGGTATCTTGATCCACTTATAGCTATTGTTTTGCCGTCTATGTAGGTGCCCTCTAAAAAAGGGGAAATATATTTCCTGAAAAAAAAGGTTTATTTTTGAACTTGGGGGCTATAGATTGTTTCCCACGGCAACAGTTGAGACTTGAGACTATTATTTAGAAACTCACAATATGGATGGGCAAGGACCGGATCCCGATTCAATGAAAACATAAGAACCAGGGAAATCAGGCATTTCTAGGGTTTCTTATACCTTGATTGTTCCCCCAACTGATACTTTTGCTTAAGAGTATGGGAGATTAGGGAATCGAGAATTTGTAATTTTTTTAATTGATTGTATGTTATGAGATTGTTTATTTTTGGTACAAAGAGATCACAATTACCATAATCATCCGATATGAATTCTAATAGCTTCGTGTGTCAGAAAGTATGAAAAATTTTCTTTTAAACTTTAAACCCAGTCAATTAAATTAATGCAGTCACCCATTTTCACATTCAATGACCAATATTAATTGTAAATTCTATGTAACAAATATAAATGGTTTTACTGTGTAGTGCATACTTTTCCGTTTTTTAAACTTGTTGAAATCATTTTGTATTTTTATTGGAACTAGTTGCTTTTTATTTTTTTCCCCTCGCTGGTTTTGAAACGTGAAAACCTTCAATTTGACTACACCCAAATTGATATCTGTATTTGGGCACAAAATACGTATGTCAGTGTTTAATAATAAAAAGTTGAATTATTAACTACTCAAAAAGAAAAAAAGAATATTGAGTTGAGACCGATCAAAAAATATAAAAGTTCTAGTCGTTTATTGACGACTAACGTGGTATACTTGATGCCTAATGCCATATCGCCATACGTTACAAAGATGTATTGTTTTCAAACGTTGAAATTCATTTTATTTTTTCATGTCTATATATCTTGATGTCGAGACATCAAAACAATTTTTTTTAGTGAAATTTTTTGTAATGAGCCCTAATTTGATTGTTTAGATGTTTAAGCTTTTTCCTTGCAATATTAGATAGGAAAAAGACAGCGTTGGTTCACACCACCCAAGCACGTGAGGCGTGGAGTTCTTATTGGAGTCAGGTCATGCACCTTAACACGCCCGAACCTTTCTATTCAATGCCTAAACGCACACGCTGTTTCAATGCGTGGCCTCTCGCATGCATCCTCGAAATGGGCCCTCACCAGAGTAGTGAGAGAGGTTTTCTAAAGAGAACGAGAGCTTTTTTTTTTTGAAAGTGTTAATGACAGGTTTTTTAGTGAGAGAGGGAGTGTGGTGGGTTTTGAAATGAGATTTTGGTACGCAAGAAAATGGGTGGATTCATTAGGGCTGACAACGGCCTAGGCTTGGTCCTAGCCCTATCCACGCTGGGCTGGGCTATAGATATAATTTGGAAAAATGAAAAAAACAAAGAAAAACTTAAAAAAAAAGTTGTCCAGGACTGGCCAAACCGGCCAGCCCTATGGCGGCCTTGGCTCAAGCCCAAGCCCAGAACTCAGGCCATATTTTATGGCCCAAGCTTTAATTTTGTAGGGTTGTCCAACTGGCCTGCTAGGTCACCTGATCCATTGACACCCTTATATGCAACAAGCTAGGTAAATATAAAGCAGGGAAAAGAAACTTCTAAACCTTTAATCGAGCATGCAGTAATACTTCACAGAAAAGTATGTTGGGGACCTATGTAGGAAAAATTAGTCGGTCGAACTCATAACCGGCCGATTTAACCACAATCAAGCACTAACTGAGCCCCGTTTTCCCAGGCAGCGGGATGCTACTCAGCACAATAGGGCACTTGCCCTTTTCTTTTATTTGGCCTTTGGCCTTGTCTCTAGAGAGAGGGAGAAGAAGTGAGAGAGAGAGAAAGAGAGCGGGGCAAGCCATGGTGGGGGGAGCACAAAAGCTGGACTTGTCTAGAAGACTTTGGCCAAGGCGTATAACGAGAAATGTTTCTGATTGACAAGGAGGTATAGCTGTGGTATCACGAAATGGGTTAACTTAGATTTTTAGAAGAGTGAACCATCCCTGCGAGACACATTAGTACCCCAAGCCCCCTCACCACTCTTATTACTAGCCAGTATTAGTTGCAGTTTGTAACTCTCTCAATTGAATTAATGTATGCTAAATTCTAAATTGTGTTGTATATATCCCTAATCTTCATATATGAATTTGTATAAACATAGTCGTTTCAATAGTTATTTGTCATTAATTTTATTTTTTCAAGATAATTGTAGGTAATAACAAAATATAAATAAAATCTAGAGTGATTTATGTTAGGACATTAAAATTTTAGGTAAAATACAAAATATTTTACTTGTATGAGGAAATTACAAAAAAGGTCCCCCTCATTTTTTAATTTTTTTCAAATGTGCCCTTTGTTCAACCCGAATTTTAATTTCTTTGTTTGGTATTTTTGTCGGTAGGGCATTGTCCCAAGCCTTAAGGTACTGCCCTACTAACGGAAAAGCTAAAAAAGAACAAAATTTTAAAAAAATCAAAATTCATGTTGACTGAGTGGCAGTTTTGGAAAAACTAAAAAATAGCCTACCTTCTTTGTAATTTCTGTATATAAGAGAGCATTTCGTATTTTATCAAAAAAATTAGGGTCCGTACGTAAATCTCTCTAAAATCTATATCTTTCCATACTTTTTATTTTTAATTTTTTTTTGGGTTTTTGGCTCATTTTAAGTTAATTTTTTTTACCTAACCGAGTCAAACCGGATGACCAGCCCGGTTGGATTTTTTTTGCTTGGGACAGAGGACTTTAGTCACTCATCCAAAGAACTGCTTCCGAGGGCAATCGTCCAATGGATGGGGGACAACCCTTACAAAGGCAATTATCATTGGTAAGATGTCCCAAAATTTTATGTTTTGTGATCTTATGGAATCATACGATGCTATCATGAACACATGTGAATAAGGCAGGCCTCCAGAACCATTCCAGTTTGGCTTTTCCTAAGTTGGATGCACGTCAATGTCCATTCTATGGTTCTTATCCACTTTCTATTCATTATGTTGAACGTTAAGGGTCGCAATGGATTGGGTTGGCCGGGCTCACCCCAGCCCGGTCAGTCCGGCCCTTAAAAACTAGGGTTTGGGCCATGAAATATGGCCTATGTGCTGGGCTAGGCCCAGGCAACCACAGCTCGACGTACGACCAGGCCGGCCCAATTAATCCTGGCCTAACCTTCGTTTTCTTTGTTTTTTTGTTTCTTTTTGTTTTATTTTCAATTTTGTTTGGCTCAGCCCAGCCTAAATAGAGCTAGGGCCAGACCTTTTTGGCCAAATCAGGGCTGGGGTGTATCTGGGCTGACTCTATGAGGACTAGGCAGTGGTTGGCCCGGCCCATTGCCACCCTTATTAAACATACATCATGCCTCTGAGGAAAATATACCATGCTCACTAAGGATCACTCTATACCACGCCGCCTTGTAAAAATCCACATCAAACGAGCTTTGGGCAGTGTATTGTGGCGGTACTACATCTCAGACTCCGCTCTATGACAGTCAAATCTCCACCGTCCAATACTGCTTGGAGTTAAGATTTTTAACAGGGTGCGATTGCAATATGTTGTATCACCAAAGCACAGGGCAAAGACTGCGCTGGCCTTTAGCATGCTGTTCCAACCATGTAAGTTTTCCTCATCCTTGGATGAAGTGACCTATTTGCATCACGGCCTAGGGTAACTACCCTATAAGGTGGTGTGTCACAAAGTTCGAGAATTTATTTTGAAGTTTGAGCTTGGTTAATGGAATAAATGCAGCCATCTAATTTACGTCCAATGATCAAAATTAATTATGATCATCTTGTACCAAAGATAAAGGGTCTCATTGTATACTTTTCATTTTGGAAATTGGGTATAAGAATTCATGAACATTTTATTTTATTTTTCATTTTTCTGTTGGATAAAATTAGCTTGGACGATATCACCCCCTGATCATTGGCACAAATTGAAATGCAATACGCACTAGACTTGGGCGAGTTACTTGAACTTGCCATATGGGCGACACCGAGTGCAATGCATACAAATAAATACTAAGTATGTTCACTTTCATGCAAATAGTGCTAAAATGACATGTTCGCTAGTATGTATATTAATGGCCTCATGTCAAAGGTTCAAATTCTCTTAGATACCACCTTAACTTTAAAATAATAGGCGCCCTATCTTTTTTATAAAAAAATAGGCATCATTAAAGTAAGGTTCAACGGGTTTTTATAAAAAAATAGACATCATTAAAGTAAGGTTCAACGGGTTTAATTGAAATAAGGGGATTCAAAAATAATAAATGCATGGGCGTGGTTCCATCCGTAAGTGTCTAGGAACCACATCATTTAACCGGTGCGCTAAGTACATTATATCTATAATTTATGCTCTTTTTCTTCTTCTTCTTTCTTTTTTTTTTTTTTTTTTTTTTATAACACGAGCTGGATTCGAACGAGTTACTCAAACTTGTCCAAGTAACTCGCCTCGGTCATTGGACGAGCTCACATTGGTCGAGTCAAGTCCCCATACCTTGTGGAGCATAATGAAATACGTTGGATAAGAGAGTAACTAGATACATTGTACTTAAGAACTAAAGATAAAAATAGGGAAGTCCCAATCTCCTAAATGTGGCTTTTTTTTTGGACAAAAAATTATCAGATTTTATTGCTAAAGACTGTTACAATAGATTAACATCATTAGTACATAAGATAAGCACCCGATTAACTCCTCTTTTTACAAGACCATTGGCCAATGAGTTGGCCTCCCTATAGACATGCTGAAAGGATAGCGTGAAAACACCCACCATATCCTTGACCTGGTACCAAATTGTACTATATTCCCATGAAATTCGTTGCTCATTCCTGCACCATCTCACCACCTTCATCGAGTCCCCTTCCACCTTACCAAGTGTGCCTAGATTCTTATCAACAAAAACAGGAGTGCATGACGTAAGGCCTTACATTCGGCAAGGTTAGCAGTTGCCACACCAATTGGACTTGCGTAACCAAAGACTACTATACCATTCCAATCCCTAACCACTCCTCCTATACCCGCAACACCTGGATTACCCATAGAGCTGCCATCAAAATTTAATTTGAAGCAGCCCTGAGCTGGTGGACTCCATCGCCCAACTGGTCTTTGCGTAGCAACATGGGAAGAAAATAAACTGGAAAGATTTAGTCTTACATCCACCTCAGCAGTACCATGTCCTTCCTTAATAGTTGATAACAACCTCCAACAATTATGCAAGTCATTACATAGCACAATTTCAAGTGGTAAAACCTTACCTTCAAATACTCTTCTATTATGCTCCTTCCATTCTTCCCATAATACTGCTCAGGATTTCATCGAAGGAACTGGTACAGTTCATCCCATTATCAAGTAACTTCATATCTTGAATGCCTTTGGAGGACCCGATATATGACATATATGCCTCCATTGGCACGTCAAGAGAGCTATGGAAACTACTTGAATCCAAGTACCTCACGGAAGAGTTTGGTACTAAAAGATTTCTGATATCTAACTTTCTAAATTTTAAATTCGTTGAAAACAAGACTATTCTCTCTCAAGTATATGAGTTGCAGCTTGTAGTCAATGAATTTAAAGATTGTGGTATTCCTTGGGATGAATATTCCTAGTAGGCTTTATAATTCATAATTTACCCCCTTCTTGGAGACAGTACCAAAAGAAGATGAATCACAAGAAAGTTGATCTTGATTTGGTCCAACTTCAAAGATTTATTCGAACTGAAGAAGAAAATAAACTTAAGGAAAAGAAATTAATTTTCCCTTTAAGGCAAACCTTGTTGAGCAAAAATCAAGTGCTCCATTTAACAAGAAACTTTTTTTCCCAATGTCCATAATGAAAATTATAAGGACCTAAAGTCTATTGCCAACAAAACAAAGCCACTTCTTATGTATGTAGAAAACCGGGACAATATCCAAGAAAATGCCGACACTGAAAATGGCTCAAAAGGCTTAGAAACCAAGTGAACTTGACCACTAAAGAAAAATTCGTAGCAATGGTCACCAAAGTAAACATGATCGATAAAGACAATGGATGGTGGGTCGATATTGGGGCCACCATTCATGTGTCTAACAATCAAGACATGTTTAAGACTTTTGAACCAATGGGTGATGGTAATTTAGTTCAACTTGGAACCCAAGTTATGACAAATATAATTAGAAAAGGTACGGTGGAACTACAGTTTAGTTCAGAAAATGTACTCACCTTAGAAAATGTGTACTACGTACCAGACATGAGAAGAAATCTTGTTTCATGATGTATATTGAACAAGAAGGGCTTTAAAATAGTCATTGGTTCATCTTGACAAAAAACGATATATTTGTTGGCAAGGGATATTCATGTGATGGGATATTTAAGTTTCATTTAGTTAATGAAATGAATAAGTCTCCTATGCATATTGTGACTTCTGGAAATGTATGGCATAGTAGATTAAGACATATTAATTATGTTTCTATTAAATCTTTGGTTAAATTAGGATTAATTTCTAATTGTGGTGAATTAACTAAAGAAAAATGTGAAGTATATATACAAACTAAAATAATTAGAAAACCATTTCCTTCAATTGAAAGAAATAGCGAATTGCTAGGACTTATACATAATGATATATGTGACTTAAATAATGTTCTAAAAAGATGCGCTAAAAGATATTTTAGATGACTTTTCTAGTTTTTCTTATGTTTATTTGCTTAAACATAAAGATGAGGCTTTTAAAAAATTTAAAGTTTTCAAAAGCGGAAGTTGAAAATCAACTTAATAAGAAAATCAAAATTGTTAGAAGTGATAGAGGAGGAGAATATTTATCAAATGACTTTAATGAATTGCGTGAAAAATAATAGTATTATTCATCAAGTAACTGCCCCTTATACCCCTCAACAAAATGGACTAGCAGAAAAGAAAAATAGAACTTTAGTTGAAATGGTAAATACAATGCTTATTTCTTTTTCTTTGCCATTGAACTTGTGGGTGAAGCTTTATTATCCGTATGTTTTATTTTGAATAGAATTCCATATAAAAAATGTGATAAGACCCCTTATGAGCTTTAGTTTGATAGAAAGCATTATTTAAATTTTTTCAAAGTATGGGGTTGTCTTGCATATGTTAAAATTTCAGATCCTAAGAAATAAATTTGCTCGTAGAATATCTAAATGTGTTTTTGTGGGATATTCTCAAACTAGTAAAGCATCTAGCTTTTTGGATCTAAATTCTTACACAATTTTAGAATCCAGAGATGCTGAATTTTTTGAAAATCTCACTTGTAAAAGTGAATTGAATGAATCAAGTAGTATGCAAAATGAAAATCATCATAAAAATGATCATAAATATCAATGAAAAACATGTAGAAAATAATGATGATGATATAATAGAACCAAGAAAAAGTAAGAGCATTAGAGGTGATCCTTTTTACAACTTTGGACCTGACTTTTATATTTATCTAGTTGAAGCAAATCAAAATAAAATATTAAATTCATTACCTATTATCTCAAATGTGGAAGAAGATTCTACATCTCTAAATGAAGCTATCTCAAGATGCAAGTTTTTGGAGAAAAGAAATAAATAATAAAATGGATTCCATAATAGCTAATAAAAGTTAAAAAGTAGTAAATCTTTTACCTAGTTCTACACCATTAGTTGTAAATAGACTTTTAAAAGAAAAATAAATTATAATAGTTCCATTAATAAATATAAAGCAAGATTAATTTCTAAAGGTTTTAAACAAAAAGAAGGCACCAGTGGCAAGAATTGCTACCATTCAATTGAAAACACTTATGTGGTACTTCGTGCGCACGTGTTTAGGAGAACATAGGGCAACTTACACGGTGCACAAATGAGTACTGCCCGTCCCAACAAACTGCTACCTATTACGTGTGAATCGCACGCATTGAGTTGAGCGTGTGCAGTGCGCAAGTACACGAGTAGTAAACCTTACCTTCGGCTGGTTATTAGCTCACTTTCAAATCAATGCATCCGAGCAGGATTTCATCGAAGGAACGTCTAAACAAGACATCATTTTTGAGCAACACATACTTCGTGAACATAGTTCACATGTTTTTGCGCTGAACACGGTCATCCGGGATACGACTATGTTTGAAAAGTCAAAGATGGGCTCTCGCCAAGGGTCCGGTTTCCATAGAGACGCAGCTCTAAATGTTGAACTTGAGCTGCAGCTTCTTTCATAGTGATTTTTCATGCCGCCTAAAAAGAAAACCAGGGCATCCTGATTACCCATAACGTCTTAAAAGAGCTGACAAAAAAATACAACCTATTGCGCTTCTGTCTCTCCCTTCCCTCAATCTTCTCCCTCTACCCTCTCCAATCTTCTCTCTCTTTTCTCATACTATCCCGAAGCTCCTCCGTCAATCTTCTGTCTTTTAGCTTTTTCTCTCTAAATTTCTGGGTTTTTACCTCAGCCTCTATTCTTCATAGGAGATAGCCAGCTTCTGGAGAGGTGCATAAACGGAAGATGAGCAGCGAAAACTCGCCCTAACTGGTTCCCTTTCTCTGTTATTCTATTCTTTTTCCTTTTTACCTTTTATTCTCTCTTCTTTGGTACTTTTTTAATGTGAGTTTTGGTGTTTTTATGCATCTAAGATACTTATAATGAGATTTATAGTTGGTCAACGTTTTTCATGATTATAGGAATTGGATGAAATGAGAGTTTGATGATTATTGAGTTTGTTGTTCTTGTATTGGGGTTTATGACTGTAATTATTTATTGAGGGCTTAATGAAGTGTTGTTCTTGTGACTATTCATTGGGGATGGATGAATTAGGGTTTTTATTTTATTTTCTTAATTTTTTTTGTTAATTTTTAATGATTTGGTGTAGCTGATTCAAATTGAGTTAATTGTTTGTCGGATAGGATCTTTTTCTTGTTGGGTTTCATAGAATTGCTGTGATTCATGAGTGTATTCATGAATTTGAGGTGATATATTCCTCTATTGTCTTTCCAATTTTTGTTGCATACCAATTAATTTGAACTTTTAGCCCTCATGATATAGGATCTTTTTATGGTGGGTCATATGAATTGTTCTGATTTATAAGTGGTTGAATGAATTGGAGTTGGGTGAATATGTTGATGCCATGATTAATGGCTGTTTATTTTGTGGGTTAGTTGATTTGGGTTGTTAGTGTCCCCTTTATTCTCTTGTTTTTCTATTATTGTTGCAGTTGAATCAATTTGAGTTTTGCTCTCAGAGGTTGGGCCTCCTTGTATCATGCTACAATTTTCTTGTAACTATTGTAGCTGAACCAATGCAAGTTTTACGGTAATACTATTTTCATGTAACTATTGTAGCTGAACCAATGTGAGTTTTACTATGATTGGTCAGTGGACACCATTAAAATTTATTCTTCTTAGGATCAGAAATGCTTGAATTCTCTAAAAAGTATGGGGGCCGTATGGTTTTCAAATGTCATAATACTCGATGCTTTGTTTATATTTCATTTAGCAAGAAAAAGAGACTGATGCATTGTTGGGCTGGTGTTTTTCTTTCACTTGTAAAATTTCCATGGTTTCTTCCTATAATTAGGTGATCTTCCTCTTTCTCAAGATTCTTCTATTTTTTGGTACAAGATGGTGGATTGGATGGTCCTCCCTCTCTTTCTATTGTGTTGAATTGGAAGCACTTTAATGAAGCAGTTCACTGCTTGATTGCTCATAGAGGATGTTGTGGCATACAGCAGCAAACGATGAAGCTTTATCGGGGATAAGTGGACTTCAAATTGCTGGTGATGCATTCCCAAGACGGGTGATTCAAGCATGTGGATTCCCCATAGAGCCTGATTGTAATTTTGTACAAAAAATATGAAATATTTGTATCTTGTTTTCTATATTTGTTATTGCTAGTGTAAGCAAGTTGATGGAGTTCTAAGTGGATTTTTCTCATTGTTATTGCCAACTCAAATCGTTTTTTGTCGATTTTCCCAATACTATGGGCGAGGTGTGGATTGATATTGAATGACTCTCTCTCTCCATGTTCTTGGTATCCGAGTCAAATATATGATACAACCGTTTTGGTTTAATTTCTTCAAGGATGCACTTTATTTGTTCTATTAACAAGCTTTCAAAGGAGCACCAAATTTTTGCAATTGAAATATTATTTTTCCCGTACTTTGTCGGAGTATACAGGAAATGGAAACACAATAGGCTTATTCTTCGGCACTAACAAGAAGCTTCATAAGGAAGACGAGAGAATAAATACCTCTCTTTCTTTCATCAGATTGAAACAAAGAAGCTTTGCTAGCAAGGCTCAATAGTGGAAAGTAAAGATGAGTTATGGAATTTAGAGGGTCTATACAAAGAACAAAAGGTTCGTGCAAGTTAGAAAATGTTTAAAAGACATTTACAATATAGAGACCTTTGGTTGAAAACCCCCACCATCTCTCTCATGCAAGTTAGAAAATATTTGGAAGATGTTTACAACATAAAGACTTTTGGTTGAACATTCCCACCATCTCTCTCTCACACACACATACACACACAGATTAGATCTTATAGAGGTAAGACTGTCTCTCTTTCCCTCTCTTGAGGGTTAGGAACTTCTAGAGCTAAGATTCTTTCTCTCTACTTGCTAATTACCACCGCAAATTTGAACAAAACAAATCCCTATCATCCAACCAATTGAAGACCAGCACGATAGTGCCTTGCTGTATTTATACTGTCATTTCAATCCATTTACTCAAATCAAACATTAAATCCCTGTCGAAATATTTGCACGACCAAGGAAAATAAGCAATTATAAACAATTGTTCAAGCATCTCAACATCACAACCATGAGCACAACTCAAATTCAATGAACATAAAAATCCTGGAACTAATGCGTGCACCAATCAAAATGGTAGTACATTCTTTAACTAACTGAAATCGTCATTAAATTTACATAACTATCAATTGATAGCATAGTCTTTAACAAGCACTTGTCATCATGAAAAGGTTATTACAATCCCATATCAATAAAGTGGAGCACCTCAAATTAGTTGCCAAACTTTTTGACATAGAATATCAAACAATTGTGATGCCGCAACATTTAAGGCTAATCTATGCTGCTCCAAAGTCATGTTTTCTTAGTTGTTGTACTTTTCTATAAGCCAATCTATGCCGCTCGACATTTAAGCCCAATCTCCTTCTTCAAATGCAAGCATTAGCACTTGAACACCCTAGAACTCACCGTGACACCATAATCCAACCAGACCAAATGTTGTAATAATTAAGCGTAGTATGTATGACCTGCAACTCATCCAAGACTTGTATTAATTAACATATATTCTAGTTAACAGCACAAACTCTAAATAAAGCCTACAAGTCAAGCTATTAATCAAAATAAGACACAGTGCATATAGCTCATATGATATACACATTATGAACAACATACAAGCATTGAAATCAACATATGCACAAGTGTTCACTGATGCCACAAAAATATGAAGAGCTAATTGCATGGCAATTTGTTGCATAATGGACTGAATGAACCTAGCACAAGTTGCTAGCAAATATTGTGATGAAGTCTTCTCAAACTAGGGGTTGTATTAACCATTGACCTAGAAGCCAAGTACAAAACATCAACAGTCTGCTAACGACCAAAACCATGTTGAATTTGAAAGAGATTCTAACTCCCACACAACTTTATTCAATTTACATACTTGATCTATTTCAATATGTGAGTTTGTACAAGGTATGATAAAAAAGAGCAGAAATTTTGGAACAGTTACATAGCAAGAAACCAGACATGAGATAACAGAGACTTCCACCGTAAGGTTGCATATAGCTCATATGACTTGCAACACATGCTACCAACATCCTATATATACTAGTATGCAAACCCTACGATCAACATATACACATTATGAACTAAAGTAGTGGCATTTGGTCAAAATCCAAAAAGACCCATAGTTGCAATAACCAAGCATATTATGTATGACCTGCAACTTATCCAAACATAGTCCAAATCACACATAAAACACCTGTTGAAACAGATGGATGAACATCTTAACATCACAATAATGAGCCCATCTCAAATTCAATGAATATAAACAATCCTACAACCAATACTTGCATGAATCAAAACAATAGCACATTCTTTACCACAGTCAAACAATCTTTAAATTTACACAGAGAAGCTATGTAGTTATATACCCCCAAGAGATCTAATTAGCATCCAAAACTCTATTCGTAAAAATGATATGTATTTTTTTTTAAAATTGTTAACATATGTATAAACAGAAAGTATGCAGTGTACATTAAAAATAGGAAGCCGGGTGCTCTGTACAAAACCCCCCAACAAAAAAGGTGAGGTAACTCAAAAAATGCTATACATCCAAAAAACTATCTGAACAATAGATACAAAAGGGATACAAGGAACCATAAACTCAAAAAGGTGCTCCCTTGGGGATTACTTGTGCTTCCTTGGAGGGTTACTTGTGTCCTCAATACTGGCCATCCTGTACAAAAATATACATGAAATAACAACTTAGTAATATTTGAGAATTTGAACAAGAAATTTTCATGTAACAATTTTCCATATACTAGGTTCCAATACTAAACAATATTAAGCAATGACATCATGCCATTTGCAATGCATAGAGGGACAATTACGCTTCTCGACTCCACATTCAGAGGACTTTCTTTTACTCGTTTTCTGCTCATTTCCAGGTTTGAGTCTTACGTGAATAGGTGGTCATCCCTTCGGCTTTACACAAATTGGAGCCTTTATAGTCCCATGTGGGTTTGAAGTCACATAGGGAATGAGAGCAACACATAGGTTGGGTATTCATATGGATGTGAGCTTTGGCACTATATAAACTTTTCCCTCAAATAAATTAAGGGGATGTTTAGTTCCAAATTGGAAATATATGAAGGGAAAAGTTTATATGGAGCAGAAGCTCAAATCTCACAATAAGAGCATCACCCTAATCTACAATCCAATAAAATAGATAGTGGATATATTTGACTCGATTTTAAATCTGAAACCGAGGAACCTGAACAACCCGTTCCCCTTTCTTGGTACTCTCATTTTCATTTCCCTCCAAATTCTATCTGTGCCCGCCTCTCTCTCTTTATCTCTCTCTCTTTGGCAACGCGCACAACCCTCCTCAAAAGCTTTCTCCTTCCTCATAAACCCTCGATTTTCCCTCTCTTCCCATTTCCAGTCCCTACATCAACAGTTCCCAGGGCTTGTTTCTCCCTCACTCTAATGTGCACGATAATCTTTTGGGGCCAAGAATTTAGGGCTGGATTTTGAACTTGGCTACCTACCGCTCCTTACCCATCACATTCAGGGAGGGCAAATGAGACAGTTAATGTAGTTTTTCTAATCTTGGGTTGGATTTGGAAGTATAACCATTTTTTCTCTCAAGATAGTGGTAAGTTTCATCTTTTACTCTCTAAACTTTGGGCATTTTCTCTCTAAACTTTGCATTCTATGGTTTTAGGTCTTGATTTAAGGTCTGGATTTCGAAATACAGCCATTGTTTTGGGTTTGAATGGATAAATTAGAGTGGATCTTTCTCTCTAGTAGATTTTAATTGGATGAATTGCAGTTTTTATTTTTCATCATTAACCGTAGGGGCTGGACTTTGAAGCATATTCATTTTTTCTCTCAAGAGGGTGGTAAGTTTTATCTTTCTCTCTCTAGTTTTTTGGGCTTTTTCTCTCTCTAAACTTTTCACTCTTGGGTTTAGGCCTTGATTTAAGGTCACCTGAAAACAATGGCGGAAAGGATTGTTCAGAGATAGCATTATCAAAAAAATGGCATGCTCTAAGGTTTTCTTATGATTTTTGGTTGAGTACCTCGATCGACGAGCACTTTACCTTCTTATAGAATTGCATTTTATGAATATAATTACGCCTATGAATGGATTAACTTGCATTTTTGATACAATAAGATAATTTGAATGTTAAATGCTTGGCAAGTTTCTTAGTTCTGGCTCTTATAGTTGTTGAATTTAGGCATTTCAATTTCAATTGTTGTTTTTTTTATCTTATCTTCATGAAGGAATGTTGATATAAATTATCTATGAACTTTAAATTGGATAGTGTGGCTTCTTACTCTTTTTTCTTTTGATTGATTTGAATCCTTTGCTAAGAATTTACTGAACTAGTTATGCCAGATTTTTAAAAAGCATACTGATTTTTTATTGTAACTAGTCTATGAAAAACTGTATAGCAATTGGAGTCATAACTGCTAAAATTATTATGTGACATACTTAAGATATTCCATATGTTCCATCTTTACAGTGTTGATGAAATTGTGTCCCATGAGGATAACCATCTCAATAATATTAGTATTGTCGAAGAGAAATGATGTTGTTGAAGAGTAAAAATTGTGACAATATTGATAGTCATAATAATAAAAGGGTACGGTTTGTATAGAACCGAGGCTCTAAACAATCAAATTAGAGCCTACCTTTAAATAGTGTCAAAAAATGTGGTTTCACTACTGAAAATCTTTGTGATAGCCTTAACATATATTTTCATACATATTTATAATGTTTAAAGCTTAAAAAATAGTGTAGATCGACAGATCTATGAAAACTTGAAAATCTTGAAAATTGAAGGTCCAAAAATGCATTACAAAATGCACTATTTCCAAAACTTTAAATCGTCCATGCATCTTGATATCAAGATGATCAATTTGAAGATATTTTGGCATTAAAACAACCTCTTCTAGTGAAAATTTTGATGTAGGCTCAAATTTGATTGCTTAGAGCCTTGGCTCTATATAAACTTTTCCCATAATAAGAAGCATTTAACGCTAGCTCTAAACTCTAGAGTATTTTGAATTATTATATCATTAAATATTAGTTGATGAAAGTTCTAAGTAAATTATCTTTTGATGTTTATCGGTTTGTAAAATAGGATAAATGCAGACTTGGAGATGATGATTACAATTGACATGGAGATGGGGAGTAATTCAGATGGTAATGAGATGGAGATAAATAAGAAGGCAGGAAGTCCTCTTCTTGAGGAGTATGGAATGAAGGAGATTATCCTTGTGGATGGTGATGATTTCTATAGTCACCATGAATAAGAGGATGCTATTTATATAGATGGCAATGATAGCAGTAACTTTGATGCAAGGCAAAATACAAGTGAGACTCTCATGGTGGAGCCTCTAACCATAGAAATTAATGCAGAGGACCCACAAGAGGGTATGCGATTTGAGTCCCCTGAAACTACATTAGATTTCTATAATAAATATGCAAAAAAATCTGGTTTTAGCATTCAATGTTCTGCAGCTCGTCGATCAAGGAAAGATGGATCACTCATCACTCATGAATTTGTATGTTCAAAACAAGGTGAGCAGAACAAGAAATATGAGGCAAATCAGTCTCAGCCTTATACAAGGATAGGGTGCCAAGCCATGCTAAGAATCAAGAAAGATGAACATGGTATATGGTTTATTGCAAAGCACAATAAAGATCACACTCATGAGTTAACTTCCCCATCCAAAGTCCATCTCCTTTGGTCACATCGCAAAATTCCAAAGTACACAAGAGAGATGATTCATATGTATAACTCATGTAGGTTAACTATCCCAAAGATCACGAAAGTATTGAGTGCACAGGCTGGAGGTCGAAGGAGTCTCCCTTTTGTAGATCTAGATTGTAAGAATGAGATATATAAAAATCGGATGAAAAAATCAAAGTTGATAGGAGGGGATGCAGAGGGGTTGATGGAGTTCTTTGCCAGTAAGATTGCTGCGAACCCATCTTTTGCATACAAAATGCAAGTTGACGCAGATGGGCACTTAACCAATATATTATGGGTTGATGCAAAATCAAGAATTGATTGTGAATTCTTTGGAGACGTCATTATATTTGATACTACATACAAAACTAATGTCTATGAGATGCCATGTGCCCCAATTTTGAGAGTAAACACAAAGACAATATTCTTAAGATGTGCTTTACTCCATAAAGAGGATGAGGAGTCTTTTACATGGTTGTTCACAAAGTGGCTTGAAGTGATGAATGGGCGGGGCGCCAACCGAAGTCAATCATCACAGATCCAGACAAGGGAATGTCACTTGCAATAAAAAAGGTGTTCCGAGAGTCCCGACATCGGTTATGTAGATGGCATATAACTCAAAAGATTGAGCAAAAAATGGCACAAGTTGTTCACAAACATCCATCATTCCATGGGGACTTGTACCAATGTATTGACCATTGTACCACCATCGTAGAATTTGAAGATGAATGGCCAAGAATGTTACAAAGATATGATTTAATGAATAATGAATGGTTAAAGTTTTTATATGAAATTCGGCATCAATGGGTGGATGTATATTTGCAAGATTGCTTCTTTGCAGGTAATAGGACTAGTGGAAGTAGTGAAGCCATGAACAAGGATATCAAGGCATATGTGAATTCCCATACTAATTTGACTACATTTGTTGGACAATTACAAGAATTAATTGAAAAAACGTTTGATGAAGAAAATACTGCAGACTTCAAATCTCACAATGAGACACCAATTATGAAGACTGCCACTCGCATAGAGAAGCAAATGGATCAAATTTACACCCCATCTGTCTTTCAAAACTTCTTTCAACCAGAGTTAATGAGGGTCGCTAATCTTATTTGTAATGTGCAAGAGGATGATGGGGTTGTATGCACTTTAAGTTTGAAAGGATATGGGACATGTCGCCCATCCTACATGGTGGAATTCACCACAATTGAGGAGAAAGCAACATGTAGCTGCCATCTATATGAGCGCGTGCGTATCCCATGTAGCCATATGCTTGAGGTATTTTTAAAAAAAAGATATTTGAGTTCCCCCGACACTATATAATGAAGTGATGGACGAAAGACGTGACAAAGGGGCTTGCTCATGAAGGTTATAGAGTTCAAATACATGCCAATTGTGAGGATGCCTATTCTACGCGCTACAATGACCTATTTCAAAGGTGCAACATTCTATGAGCTAATGGGGCAGTGAGTCTGAGTGTGTATGAGTATGCAAAGATGCTTATAGATGAGACACACCAAAAGGTTGTTGCTAGGGTAGATATGGAAAAAACAACTTTAAAGCATGCTTTTTGTACCTATGGTAGCCCCACATCCACAGGAATCCCCACCCTATGTGTTGCCCCCAATTCCCTCTGTGATTTCAAACTCACATGTGACTATAAAGGCTCCAATTTGTGCAAAGCCGAAGGGACGACCACTTATTGACGTGAGACTTAAACCTGGGAATGAGAAGAGATCGAGAAAGAGAAAGTTCTTTGAATGTGGAGTCATAGGTCATGACAAGCGTAATTGTCCCTCTATGCGTTGCAAATGGTATGTTGTCATTACTGAATATTGTTTAGTATTGGACCTTAGTATGTGGAAAATTGTTACATGAAAATTTCTTGTTCAAATGCTCAAATATTACTAAGTTGTTATTTCATGTATATTTTGGTACATGAGGACCAGTATTGAGGACACAAGTAACCCCCCAAGGGAGCACAAGTAATCCCCAAGGGAGCATAATTGACACTATGGAAGCTTTTTTGCACCTTTTTGAGCTTATGGTTCCTTGTATCCTTTTTGTATCTATTGTTCAGTTAGTTTTTTGGATGTATAGCATTTTTGAGTTACCTCACCTTTCTGGTTGGGGGGTTTTGTACCGAGCACCCAGGATGTGGGCTGCCGATTTTTTATGTACTCTGCATACTTCCTGTTTATACATATGTTAACAATTTAAAAATAAAAATAAATATCTTTTTTGCGAATAGAGTTTTGGATGCTAATTAGATCTCTTGAGGGTATATAACTACATAGCTTCTTTGCGTAAATATAAAGACGATTTGAATGTGGTAAAGAATGTGCTATCGTTTTGATTCATGCAAGTATTGGTTCTAGGATTTTTATGTTCATTGAATTTGAGATGGGTTCATTATTGTGATGTTAAGATGTTCATCCATCTGTTTCAACATGTGTTTCATGTGTGATTTGGACTATGTTTGGATAAGTTGCAGGTCATACATAATATGCTTGGTTATTGCAACTATGGGTCTTTTTGGATTTTGACCAAATGCTGCTACTTCAGTTCATAATGTGTATATGTTGATCTCAGGGTTTGCATACTAACATATATAGGATGTTGGTAACATATGTTGCAAGTCATATGAGGTATATGTAACCTTATGGTGGAAGTCTCTGTTGTCTCATGTCTGGTTTCTTGCTATGTAACTGTTCCAAAATTTATGCTTTTTCTTATCATACCTTGTACAAACTCACATATTGAAATAGATCAAGTATGTAAATTGAATAAAGTTGTGTGGGAGTTAGAATCTCTTTCAAATTCAACATAGTTTTGGTCGTTAGCAGACTGTTGATGTTTTGTACTTGGCTTCTATGTCAATGGTTAATACAGCCCCTAGTTTGAGAAGACTTCATCACAATATTTGCTAGCAACTTGTGCTAGGTTCAGTCAGTCCATTATGCAACAAATTGCCATGCAATTAGCTCTTCATATTTTTGTGGCATCAGTGAACACACTATTAACAGTGTTTATATACTGTTGGCAGCATGTACACACTTTTAACAGTGTGCATATGTTGATTTCAATGCTTGTATGTTGTTCATAATGTGTATATCATATGAGCTATATGCAATGTGTCTTATTTTGATTAGTAGCTTGACTTGTAGGCTTTATTTAGAGTTTATGCTGTTAACTAGAATATATGTTGATCAATACAAGTCTTGGATGAGTCGCAGGTCATACATACTACGCTTGATTATTACAACATTTGGTCTTGTTGGATTATGGCGTCACGGTGAGTTCTAGGGTGTTCAAGAGCTGTTGGTTGCATTTGAAGGAGTTCTAGGGTGTTCAAGAGCTATTACTTGCATTTGAAGAAGGAGATTGGGCTTAAATGTCGAGCGGCATAGATTGGCGTGTAGTAAGTACAACTACTAAGAAAACATGACTTTGGAGCAACATAGATTAGCCTTAAATGTTGCGGCATCGCAATTGTTTGATATGCTATGCCAAAAATTTTGGCAACTAATTTGAGGTGCTGCACTTTATTGATATGGGGTTGTAATGACCTTTTCATGATGACAAGTGCTTGTTAAAGACTATGCTTGCAATTGATAGTTAAGTAATTTTAAAGACGATTTCAGTTTGTTAAAGAATGTGCTGACATTTTGATTGATGCACGTATCAGTTCCAGGATTTTTATGTTCATTGAATTTGAGTTGTGCTCATTGTTGTGATGTTGAGATGCTTGAACAATTGTTTGTAATTGCTTATTTTTCTTGGTCGTGCATATATTATTTTGACAGGGGTTTAATGTTTGATTTGAGTAAATGGATGGAAATGACAGTATAAATATAGCAAAGCACTATCTTGCTGATCTTCAATTGGTTGGATGATGGGGATTTGGTTTGTTCAAATTTGCGGTGGTAATTAGCAAGTAGAGAGAGCGACTCTTAGCTTTAGAAGTTCCTAACCCGGTAATTAGCTAGTAGAGAGAGACTCTTAGCTTTAAGTTCCTAACCCTCAAGAGAAGGAAAGAGAGATAGTCTAACCTCTATAAGTTGTGTGTGTGAGAGAGAGAGAGAGAGAAAGAGAGAGATGGTGGGGGTTTTCAACCAGAAGTCTCTATGTTGTAAACTTCTTTTAAATATTTTCTAACTTACACGAGAGAGATGGTGGGGGCTTTCAACCAAAGGTCTCTATATTGTAAATGTCTTTGAAACATTTTCTAACTTGCACGAACCTTTTGTTCTTTGTATAGACCTTCTAAAACCCGTAAATCATCTTTAATTTCCACTATTGAGAGTCTTGCTAGCAAAGTTTCTTTATTTCAATCTGATGAAAGAAAAAGAGGTATTTATTCTCTCGTCTTCCTTATGAAGCTACTTGTTAGTGCCGAAGAATAAGCCTATGGTGTTTCCATTTCCCGTATACTCGGACAAAGTAAGGTAAAAATAACATTTCAATTGCAAAAATTTGGTGTTCCTTTGGAAGCTTGTTAATAGAACAAATAAAGTGCATTCTTGAAGAAATTAGACCAAAATGATTGTATCAAATATTTGACTCGGATACCAAGAACATGAAGAGAGAGAGAGAGAGCCATTCAATATCAATCCACACATCACCCACAGTATAGGGAACATTGACAAAAATCCATTTGAATTAGCAATAACAAGGAGAAAAAGCCACATAGAACTCAATCAACCTGCCTATACTAGCAATAAGAAATATAGAAAACATGACAAATATTTCATATTTTTTGTAAAAAATTACAATCAGGCTCTATGGAGAATCCACATGCTTGAATCTCCCGTCCTGGGAATGCATAACCAGCAATTTGAAGTCCACTTATCCCCTATAAAGCATCATTGTCTGCAGTGGTGAACTGCTTCATTAAAGTGCTACCAATTCAGCACAATAGAAAGAGAGGGAGGAGTGTGCAATCCACCATCTTGCACCAAAAAATAGGAGAATATGGAGATGGAGGAAGATCACCTAATTAGGAAGAAACCATGGAAATTTTACAAGTGAAAGAAAAATACCAGCCCAACAATACATCCGTGTCTTTTTCTTGCTAAATGAAATATAAACAAAGCATCGAGTATCATGACATTTGAAAACCATACGGCCGGCCCCCATACTTTTTAGAGAATTTAAGCATTTCTGATCCTAGGAAGAATAAATTTTAATGGTGTCCACTGACCAATCATAGTAAAACTCATATTGGTTCAGCTACAATAGTTACAGGAAAATTGTATCACCGTAAAACTTGCATTGGTTCAGCTACAATAGTCACATGAAAATTGTAGCATGATACAAGGAGGCCCAACCTCTGAGAGCAAAACTCAAATTGATTCAACTGCAACAATAATAGAAAAACAAGGGAATAAAGGTGACACTAACAACCCAAATCAACTAACCCACAAAATAAACAGCCATTAATCATGGCATCAACATATTCAACCAACTCTAATTCATTCAACCACTTATAAATTAGAACAATTCATATGACCCACCATAAAAAGATCCTATATCACGAGGACTAAAATTTCAAATTAATTGGCATGCAACAAAAATTGGAAAGACAACAGTGGAATATATCACCTCAAATTCATGAACACACTCATGAATCACATCAATTCTATGAAACCCAACACAAAAAGATCCTATCCGACAAAACAATTAACTCAACTTGAATCAGCTACACCAAATCATTAAAAATTAACAAAAAAATTAAGAATATAAAATAAAGACCATAATTCATCCATCCCCAATGAATAGTCACAAGAACAACACTTCATTAAGCCCTCAATGAATAAGTACAAGTCATAAACCCCAATACAAGAACAACAAACTCAATAATCATCAAACTCTCATTTCATCCAATTCCCATAATCACGAAAAAAGTTGATCAACCATAAATCCAATTATAAGTATCTCGGATGCATAAAAAAACCAAAAAAAAGTACCAAAGAAGAGAGAATAAAAGGTAAAAATGAAAAAGAAGAGAATAACATAGAAAAGGGAACCAGTTAGGACAAGTTTTCACTGCTCATCTTCCGTTTATGCACCTCTCCAGAAGCTGGCTTTCTCCTATGAAGAATAGAGGCTGAGGTAGAAATTTAAAGAGATAATGTTGAAACAGAGAAGATTGAAGGAGGAGCATTAGGTATAGTGTGAGAAAAGAGAGAGAAAGTTGAGAGTGGGTAGAGAGAGAGAGAGAGGGGATTGAGGGAAGACGGTTGGGCAGGGTAGAGAGAGAAGATTGAGGGAAGACGGTTGGGACAGGGTAGAGAGAGAAGATTGAGGGAAGGGAGAGAGATTCTATTTTTTCAGCTTTTTTAAGATGTGATGGGTAAGCGGGACGCCCCGATTGTCTTTTTAGGCGGCGTGCAAAATCACTACCGTCTGTGTTAATGAACGGTGAAAGAAGCTGCAGCTCAAGTTCAACATTTAGAGCTGGGGCTATATGGAAACAGGACCCATATATGAAACACAAGGAAGTTTAAGTCGTTATAAATACGGTGAAGGTATGGCTTGTTAATCAAGCGTAGCGGTATAAACCGCTCAGAAGGGAAAGGTGGGGTGGGCCACATGGCTTCCCTTTCTTTAAGCTATGTTTTTTTCAAAAACTAATAACTAATACATGTAAAAAGTGGATCTACCGTACCGGTTCTCTGGCATCCTTGATCAATATGCACGTCATCCCAAATTTATCTTTATTGCCCGTGTCTATTTTTCTAAATCATCAACAGTTGCCGAGACACCATCCTCTAATTCAAGAGGAGTAGGTCCCACTTCCACTTATATCTCTTATGCTTGCGACAAAGCTGAGTCCACTTGGTTAGGATTTGGCTCGAGGGTGAGTATCTCTATACCAGGTGTATCTCTCTTGGTTGGGATTTGGCTCGAGGGTGAGTATCTCCATACGGGGTGTATCACTCTTGGTTAGGATTTGGCTAGAGGGTGAGTACCTCGAGACCAGGTGTATCTGTCTTATAGACGCCTCGTCGAAATTCTGGTTAAGGGAACTCCAAAAAACTTCGATTCTGGTATTAAAAGACCACACAAGCTTTAGTAGACCATAGGCAATCTAGACCCAATTTAATTAACCCAAAACTACCCAAATCCTACTTCAACTTGAAGTAGAACCCAAGAGCTTTCCAACAATCCAAGAATCGGACCTACAGATAAAAAGATATAACAAATAACAATTTGGTTCATGCAGGCTGATGGCACAGTCAACACATCTGATGACACAGTAAACATGTTTTTTTTAATTAGATAAGGCTAAAACTTCAAGATAAATAAAAAAATATCCAAAAAAATTAGGAAAAATCACCAATGGAGTTCTATAAATACCCCCTTTGTAACTCAAAAGGAAAAGGCTAGGAACGAAAAAGAAATCCCTTAGAAATTCTCGAAATTAGAAAAACAGCCAAAAATACTAAAAATAGAAAAAAACCTTAGAAAATTCATAAAAATTTAGGAAAAATTCCAAAACATTAGAGAAAATATCAGAAGTCATATTCAACCTATGGAGATCTCAAAAACCTCAGAAAACTAAGGAAATTCTCCTTAAATCCCCAAAAAAGCCTAGGTAGACCTTACTTAAAATTCTCAGGTTTTCCCCTTGCCTTAGGAACCCTAGATCTAGGTCAAAAGAGCCTAGATCTACGAATTCCAACACACAAAGGCATCCAAAAAAATAGATGGTGGCGTAAATTGGAAGAGCGGCCTGATCCAAACTCGAAACTCTAGGTTTCGAGTCTATAGAGGTAAGTATATCTTTCTTTGCTTAATTTAGTTTGTTTTTCATCATTTAATTATCTACTTTATTTTATTGTTTATGAAAACTAATTCATCCTTATATTTAATTAAATTTAGAAGCATTTTTAGGCCAAAATACGGATTTGGAGTTAGCGCTGTTAGTGGACTCAGAAAAAGACCAAATCTGTATAGATATGAGATTTTTCTAAGCCCATAATTCAAACGACCCCACTTTCTCTACCTTTTAAAAAATAATATAATTTTTTTTAAGATTTGAGCAGATCTCATCACAGAGATCGACATAGATCTAAGCGTAAACAGTTTGGCACCCACCGTGGGGCACCTTGAGCTTCAGATCCGTATTTTAGATTTAAAAAACTTCTTCTTTTTTTCTCATATTTATTTTTTCAACAAAAAAAAAGAAAAAACAAGGTAGATTTGAAAGGATTTCTTTTTTATTAGATTCGATCTTTTCTTTCAAGATCTTATTTTTTCTCTCTCCATAAAAAATTTAGGATGTTTTTTCTCTTAATCTTTAT